AAAAAAAAAAAAAAAAAAAGTAATAGTAATTAAGCTTTGCTGACTACTAAGAGATAAAGTGTTTCTTTTTCTTATGTTTATCATCCATTTGTGTCTCTTTAAATCTGCCTGTATTTCCCTATTGAGTTATTTGCCTTTTCTCAATTAGCAAGAGCTCTTTATATATATTTTTTTTTTCTGTTATTCTTGTTAATCTCATAAATTGATCCTATGGTGTTTTGTCTTAGGGAAAGTTTGTGTGTGTGTGTGGTTTATTCTTATTTTTCAACAATAGATTTTTGAGATGGCCTTTCCACCTCCAAATTACATGGAGGACTTTAATTCCTCTACAAATGATTTTGTATGATGTCAAAATCTAACTTTAAAAATTTTTAGATAAAAAGCTCTATTTTCCAAACATCGCTTGTTGAACTCTTCAATCTCACTCCAGTCATGTGATGAATCAACCTTATATCGTGTACACAATTCCCTTTTGAATGTGTTGGTTCTGGAGATTTTGCTGTATTCTCCTGGTCGTCCATTTAATTCCTGCATAATACCTGATGCATTACACTAGAATAGGGTTCTGACGAACCACTCCCCACTCGGCTCTTTCAGTCAGATTCTTCTGTATTCTCTGTCCATGTTTTTGCTTGTGCATAAGTTTGTAAAACATTTTGTGAAGTACTGTGACAAATAGTATTTGCAAATTTTATTTAGTCATGAAAAGTTACCAGTTTCACCTTTTACCCCTTTATTACTATATATTTTTTCACTTTTTAGTTTACAGACTTTCACTCAGTGTCTTCTTTTATTGCACGGTTGTTTGATAATTTTTGTTTCTATTATGAGCTGACTCTACTTTTCACAGCAGTTTTTCTAATGATTCTTTTATTGCTCTCTTGGAGATTTATCAACTTTTATCCATCTTGTTTCTGTCTTACTTTACCCTTACATTAGTTCTAATAGTTTTTTGATGATTCTCTTGGTTATTCCAGACAGATAATTATGCCTGCAATTAATGACAGTTTTTTCTTGTTTTCAAGATTAATACTTGTTTTCCCCATGTATACTAGTAGCAGTGATTAGAAGCCTTATTTCATTATTCCTAATTAGCCAGAAAGCTTTATATATCTCACCATTACACATGATATTTCTTATCGATAAAATTTATACCTAGCTTTGAAATTTCAGGTGTGCAAATTAAATTTTATAAAATGCATTTCTCTCATTTACACATATTGTATATTAATCCGTTAATATAGTCAATTATGCCATTGATATCATTAGATTTATCTAACATTGAATAAAACTCCTGGGGTAAGCTTTACATGTTATAATGTTTTCTTTTAATGGATTGATATGTTCCCTTGCTATTTTTCTTAAACCTTTAATTATATGTGATTTTCTTAAACTTCTCTTTTTTTCTCTTCTTGCCAAATTTTAGTCTCAGATTTATGCTGACTTAAAATAAATATTTGGGAAGATTGTCTTTTTCTGTGCTCCAGAATAGTTATAAAAATCATGATCATCTGTTCATAAAAACGTGATAAAAGTCCTATAATTTTAGCATTGTATAGCCAAGTTTTCCTGAATAAGGATTAATGAATTCAGGTATTATGCTTCCTTTTGACCAATATTCACAATTTACATTTTTTTCTGAAAAATCTGTTTCATCTAATTTTTAAAAACTTCATTGATAGAAAATTGGGTATGGTGTTATTTTTTAAAATCTGATAGAGACCAGTATTTTCTCTCAAATTCCTTTTTTTACTTCCTTTCACCAGAAGTGGAAAGTGTCTGTTTACTACATAATTAAAAGGTTTTGATTACTTGATGTAGAATATTTGTTCACTCTATTGCTAGGTACACATTCCTCCAAGGCTTGTTTTTCAGATGCCTAATATTTTACTTACTTTTGATACATCAGTTCCTGAGAGAGGTGTCTTCACATTTCACACTTGCAGTTTGAATTTGTGTACTCCTGGGATATGAGGATGCATGCCTAACATCTTGTAACTTTTGCCACTGCAAAGTATTGGTGTTTTTACATCTGAATTTCATTTTATCTGATATTAATATAACCATACTTCTTTTCTTCCTTTCCTTCTTTCCTAATTATTTTTCTTTTTGTTTTTATTTTAGCCAAATGTATAACTTCAGTGGGATAGAGCTTTCTCATCTCTGTATTATTAATAGCTTCTGAGTATAATTTCACTTTTTACATCATTGTAAACAATGTATAAATTTCAAAGTTATGTCAGTATTGTTTTAAACAGGCTGTGGAATACTTAGGACAGTCTTGGCCACCACACCAGTGATTTGGTTTTTGCATTTTACCAATACAACTAGTCCTCTACTGTGACCTCTGAGAGCCCTGTCTGGAGACCCAGGGTATCTCCAGATCACCTGCAAGTGAACTGACCTTGACTGCATACAAAGCAGAGGAAG